CCCCGATAATGGTACATTCCATTCAACTTTTCTGCACTAGCGAAGGACGTAATTTCGGAGCAGACTTCCCGACAGTAAGTGCACTAGTCAAGCACAATATGTGGGGAACTACCAGTAAGCTTTGGCAATTCATCCAGTAGTATGCTGTTTCTCCAAAGATAAACTAACTTTAAAATTCTGTATAGCCTCAAACTACGGTGGAGACTTCAGTTAAAGTCATAATGATGGAAGAAGTCATCACCCTTTCTTGGTGGTCGAACAGACTGACAATCCTTTCCACTGCACCTATATACCGACACCTTCTGTTTTTACGTTCAGTTTCATTTTCACATGTACCTTTGTTTGTATGCATGCATGTTTTGTTTAAGTGAATAAACACTTCAGCGCAGCTTCGCTTTTCGTGGTGAAGCGTCGTCTGGCGCAACTGCTTTGAGTACATTTGAGGTCAACGGGCGCTAAACACGACGTTTCAATTTCAGCCCTCACTCGTACATAACTTGTTCTTCGATTGGACGAGCAAGTTTGGCTATCAAATATAGCCAACCAAACCTTCTCTGTAAGTCAATTTTTGACTACCGCTACAGAAGGATATCGGAATTTCATATCATTCTTTCTGTTACTGTCGTTTTTACACGTTTCAGTCATTTTTATATATCACTATAGTTTATATTAGTTTAGTCGCTACTCTCTAGGATTTGCGTTTCATTGTTTTTAACCCGTTTTACTCGGTTTTTAGGCATTAACTGTAGTTATCCACTAAGTCTTCTCGTTTGTCAACATCACCAGTCCATCTCACTTGCATTAAGATTTTTTTCTCTTCTAAGAAACCATGTTGGAGGAGATACAGTGATACAAACTCTTCACTGCGCACCACTTCCGTATAAAACGCACGTAACATTTTGCAGGGTATGCTGAAGCAGGAACAAACATTTAAAATAGGAATCACACTATAGTAGCACTCCTACCTTCGCAACTGCTCTCCTTGTCATTCTATAGACCGCAAACGACGCTTACAAAAAGGTGTGTGTTCGGCTCCCTATAAATGAATGTTACCAAGCGGTGTGGAGGACAGATTGTTGACTGCTGTCTATTCTTTCCGGATGTTCGTGTCCATAAAATACTACGTAGTGGAATTTACGAATTAATTTTAGACTAGTGTATTTGTTTCGATCACTGCTTGATCAGGTTTAACGGGCTCCAGCGTCTACAGAATTACCATCCATGCTACGTCTATATTTCATGCTCAAACGCGGAGAAGTGTTAGGTCAAACACCCTCCTTAATGCTGGCTTTAACGCATTTATAAATTTCAGAAGATGAAATGGCGAACATACGTTTGTTTTCGATAATTCTCTTCAGGCCTTTACATTTATATGGTATGTATAAATGGCAAGGCCGGTTTCCTAAATCACTTCTAATGATTTTAATTTCTGATTCATTTATAATAGCTTCGTATCGGTCAGGCCAGAAGTGACGCGCTGAGGACGGACGGAAATCGCGTGAGATCCTGGACACAGTTTAGAAGTCAACGAATTGTCACAGGATGTATAAAATATGACCATTAATTATCCGCTAGAATGACAGCACCAGTGGTGATGGGAATACAGACAGCTGACTCACATCTGCGATTGTCGACCAAGTGGAGATGTGCTTTGAATTTTCGATGGTAATGGGGCTATTTTGGCATTGTGTTTCTTTTGCCGACGGTTGGTCTCTGCCTCCAGGCGGTTTCCCTGTTGCAGTGATTCCAGGGTTGTGCGACCGGAGCGAGCACGGACTGTAACTTGATGACGCTCTTAGGACAGGCGGCGTAGGTGTCTTTCAGTGCTGGCGGCGTGCCCCTAATACGGACCACGCGGTAGGTACGTGGGGCCAACTCAACGGTCAGCTCATGCTCGGCAGGCGTTTTGAGGGCTTCACAGGCATGACGAA